CAACAACAACAACAACAATAATAATTTAAGAAGATACTTGGTTAATACTTAGGATGCTGGCAGCAACCCGTATCAACCATTAGCACCAATTAATAATATTTGTGATACATTTTTGAATGTTCAGATAACTGAGTTCCGTGTTTAATGAATAAAAGAGATGATGATGATGATGATAATCATCATCATCATCATAGTTTCGATGGCCAGGTCACTATCATATAATAATAATAATAATTAGCAACCTGGCCATCGAAACTATGCAATTATGGATGAAACATGTAACAGTGATACCCGTTGTCATCGGGGCACTTGGTACCCTGTCCAAGAATTTTATAAACTACATCAAGAAATTGCAGCTTCCTGCAATAAAACCAGCGGAACTGCAAAAAACTGCACTGCTCGGAACATCGTATATTTTAAGAAGGTATTTTGGTTGCTACCTAGGATGCTGGCAGCAAACCGTATCAACCATCAGCACCAGTCAGTGGTATTTGTGATGCGTTTTTGAATGTTCATTTGGCTGAGTTTCATATTTAATGAATTAAGTATATAATAATAATAATGGCTAAGGATTGTCTTTCAGCGACCCGTAGGGTCAAGTTTCCCCAACCTTGGAGACACTGATTTGCTTTTAAGAGAGTTGGAAATACCCCAATTTTGCTTGCTTTTGAAAAACACCTGCCTCTTCCCCTTCCTGCCTATAACCCAAGGAGCTTCCCAGTTTTAGAAGCAATTCATAACTTTAAGATGTAGACACCTCCATCTCTGCTCCCGTCCTTCTACTAAAATCCCCCTGCACATTTAAAGAAGTGCGCTAACCCTTATCACATGCTAAAGGAGACTTTTAATCTCTTTACAAACCCAACACGGAATGAACTTCTAATACAGTCAGAGCATAAGCTGATTAGAAGTCTCTAATTAATTTTGTGGCAAGGGAGGAAGGGAGGGAGGGAGGGAAGGAAGAAGGGAAGAGAGTACGGAGAAGAGAGGGAGGGGACGTGAAGAGAAGGGGGAGGGAAGGACGGGGGAGAGAGGGGAAGGAAGGGAAGGAAGAAGGAAGGAAGGAGAGAGGAAAGGAAGGAGCGGAAGGAAGAAGGGAAGAGAGTGTGCAGAAGAGAGGAAGGGGAGGAGAAAGGAAGGAAGGAGAGGAAAAGAAAGGAAGGCAAGGAAGGAAGTGTGTGGTGAGAGAAGGAAGGAAGGAAGGAGGGAGGGAGGGAGGGCAAGGGAAGGAAAGAAGGAAGGAGAAATAAACAAAGAGACAGGAAAAAACAGCAAGTGACTGCAGTGAATTACTCTTTAGCTTCGGCCAACTTATTGTTAATTTCTTTACTTTTCTCCTTGTCCTCAGCCGTTGTTGTTCTGGTGGGTGTCTCTGTGGTCTTCTTCTTGGATGCTCTGCTGGATGCCATCTGCTTATCTTTCGGCTTTTTCACAGATTTATGGCTTGGGGTCGTCTTTTTTGGCTTAGAAGGCTGCGGGCTCGGCTTCTCCACCTAGTCGGAACCAACGAAACCATCAGGGCAAAGGACGGACACGGCAGACACAGGGGAAGGGAAGGAAGAAGGGAATTGAGAGAGAGAATTGCACGTTAAAGAGCCAACCGAACTGCCCGGAGAAGACGGGAAATGCCAGGGGATGCCTACTGTGATGCCTACACCCCAAGCTCAACAAGGGTGGAATGTTTCGGTGCCCAAAAACGGGTGGTTTTTTTTTGGGAGAACACAAAAACACCACCTTGCCCGCAACTCTTTAAAGCAGCTGCATCCTTTCCCCAAGTTCACCCCCGTCTGACTCCTTAGGCTGTGCTAGAAGAAGACGCAGCTACTTTAAAAAGTTTCAGAGAACAGTTAACTTTGTCCCCCTGGGCTTGGAAGTGCCTTTCTCAATTTACCGTATTTTTCGAGCTATAAGATGCAACGGAGTATAAGACGCACCAAGATTTTGCAGAGGTAAATTTTTTTAAAAAAGGTTTTGCCCTCCCTAGCCCCCCAGGAGCACCCTACAAGCCTCCCAAACTCTCTGCAGGCCATTTTTTTTTTTTTTTACTGAGAAAGAGGCATGCAGAAAGTTTGAGAGGCCTGCAAAATGCTCCTGGGGGCTGGGGAGGGCAAAAACGAGCAAAAAATGGCCCCTTTTCACTTGTTTTTGCCCTCCTCAGCCCCCAGGAGCACTCTACAAGCTTCCCAAAGCCTCTGCACGTCCATTTTTGCAAAAAAACAGGATGCGCAGGGCAGGATTTCGGGAAGCCAAAACTGCTGTATTCAGTGTATAAGATGCACCCAGTTTTTCACCCTCTTTTTTTTTGGGGGGGGGGGAAAGGTGCATCTTCTACTCTAAAACATACTGTAGATCCAGAATAATTATGAAATACTAGTGTAGCTCGGGTTTTAGATTTCGATTCGGCTTAACTTCTGAACGCTCCCTTACACCATCAGAATAATAGTATTGGAAAGGCCCTTGGAGGTCTTCTAGTCCAACCCCCTGCTCAAGCAGAAGACCCCTTAGACCAGGGGTATCAAACTGGATTTCTTTGAGGGTTAGGCCCAGGGGTGAAATCCAGCTGGTTCTGATACGTTCTGGAGAACCGGTAGTGGAAATTTTGAGTAGTTCAGAGAACCAGTAGTGGAAATTTTGAGTAGTTCGGAGAACCGGTAGCAGAAATTTTGGGTAGTTTGAAGAACCAGTAGTGGAAATTNGGTAAATTTTCAAACTTTTTTCATATATAAGGCGCACCGGATTATAAGGCGCACTGCCGGTTTTTGATCAAATTTTAGGATTTTCAGTGCGCCTTATGGTCGTGAAAATACGGTATATAACAAATACATGTATTAAGAAAAAAACAGGCCAAGATTGTGTGCATTATAATCTGTACTTTCCCTTAATGCATGATTTTTTAAAAAGCCGATTTCCAACTTTTAGGAATTATGACAATTATACTTTATTTGAATTCTAATCACGATCAGACTTTATAAAATGAGAATTAAATTGACTGTATTGAAATATAAATTGAATTACTATCAGGATGCTGGAGCAATATTCCATTTAATTACTATACATTGATTGCTGATATTTTTGCAGTATATTCATATCAAGCTGGAATCTAACTCTTAAAAGGGTTGTTTTTATAATCTAAAAGTGAACATCATCCAAGACAGTTTTTGTGTTGTGGAAAAGCATTAAAGAAAAATCCTATCCAAATCAGAGATGGTATTCAGCAGGTTCTGACCAGTTCTGGAGAACCGGTGGAGGAAATTTTGAGTATTTTGGAGAATCAGTAAATAATACCTCTGATTGGCCCTGCCCCCCATCTATTCTCTGCCTCCCGAGTCTCACCTGATCGCTAGGAAATGAGCATTTTGCAGTAACCTTCCCATGCCACACCCACCAAGCCACGCCCATCAAGCCACGCCTACAGAACCGGTAGCAAAAATTTATGAATCCCATTACTGATCCAAATGTTGACAAAGGAATTCCATATTACTATACAGAGTTCAAGAACTTTGCAGAAATTACTGGCTACATGGAATTTTGGCGAGGAGATCATTTCTTTTTGTAATTGAAGAGAACAATAACTTTGAAGTCAGAAGACCCCTATTGGGTTAAAAAAATCATCTAATTTTCTAAAACTGCATTATAAAACTGTTCAATTCAAGTGTAACAGTTGTCTTCTGACACATCCATTTTGGGGCTGTAAATGTAGATAGATATTTTATTTCTTTATCCGAATATTCTGTTTAGCTTTAAATCCTGGCTCAAACTTTGTCTTGCTGAATCATAGTTCAGATGGGTTATTGATCTATTCCTTGTTATCAGTTAAAGAAAAAGAGAAGAAAAGGGCCCCAAAGAGAAAAATAACTGTAGAAATTGTATAATTTTGTTGCCAATGATTGAACAAATGATCACAGTGAAGAGATTGCTAACAACATAGCTTTTATCCGCTCCTTTTGTCATTCACATATGGATCAAATGGGGGTAGAGCACAAGTGAAATAAACTTTGAGAAATTATAAAAATATAAGCTACTTGATTCTGAGTTCTGAAGAAACCTCTCTTTCACTAGGGAGAAGTGTCTCCTTCCACTGCAACTGGCTTTGGAGAGCAAGAATATGAAACTGGCACAGCAAGCTCTAGCAGGGATGCAGGTAGGTGCCTAACATTTGACCAGATTTGGAGTTATTGAGTGAAATAAGAAGCTGACAGGAAAAGTCAACGATGTGAAAACTTCACTATACACCTTGAACGCATGCAGGCCCATAAAATGATATGGAAGACAATCAGGACTATGTATTGTAGCCTGTTGGCCGCCGGCTCCTCCAGCTACCAAATCAGATGAAGAGGCGGAGTGGGAGTTGGGGCTAGCATCAAGGCAATCAGAGAGCTCCAAGGGGGAAGAGGCAATGGAGCTGTCAGAGATGGATACAGAGGCAGAGCCTGGGCCGTCCCCCCAGCCCCCAGATGGAGAGGAAACAGCCTCCAGGTCCAGAGGCAGGTGATGAGGAAGAGGAGGAATAGCTGGGTCTGGTGCCTGGCACATGGATACACAGAAGGCAGAGGAGATGGGCCAATCCTCGGGACGGAAGAGCCACCACTGCTAGCTAAGCCCCACTCTTGCTCTGGGGATAAAAGGCAGGGAGCAAAGATGAATAGGTGTGGCAGACAACTATTCGTCTCCCTGTCAGTCAGCCACTGATATTCTGAACTTCTGAATCCTGTCAAGACCTTTATCGGAATTCTTGGAATCTGTGGCGCTGAGAGTCAGGTGCTCCTTTGGAGCGTGTATGTAGGTGTCTGCTGCTGGATAAGAGAGAGAGAGAGAGAGACTGAGACTGAGACTGACTCTTGGCTCCTGGCGCTTAGGGCTGCTGTCGCTCCTAATAAAGAGAATGTTTAGTTAAAGACAGTGTGCTTATCATGTTTGGGAGCCGGGTCAGAACACTATGCATTATGGTTAATCCTGGGCAAAAACTTTACAGGTGATTATAAAGTAAAGGTTTCTCCTATGCAGTGGTGTCCGACTCTAGGAAGTGATGTTCATCTTTGTTTCCTAGCCAAGGGAGCCAACATTGTCTAAAGACAATTTTGTGGTCATGTGGCCAGCATGACTATATGCCAAAGTCGTACAGAATGCTGCTACCTTCCCAAGTGATACCTATTTATCTAGTCACATTTGCATGCTTTTGAACTGCTAGGTGAGCAAGTAATGGGAATTCACCACGTCACACGATGCTCAGGTCTTAAATTGGAGCTCCAGTGTATTAATCACTGAGTCATCGTATCCCCTGGCAAATTATATAGTCTTCCTCAGAATTTGATGCTCTCAAAATATATCTGCTTAAAGCATTCTCAGCCAGCTCTCTTGGAAGTTGTATACTGACATACTTCCAGTTGGGGAACAATGCTGCAGTGAATATTTATGGAGCAATATGGAGTTTTTCATCTCAATAAATGAAAGGAGGACTTTGTGAAGCCTACACAAAAGGACATCTCTGGTAAGTGCTGTAGGCCTCATATGCTTCTCTAATGAATCCTTTAAACAAAAGCCCATGGTACCCCAAGATGGTACAGATGTTCCATCTTGGGACAATTGTTGCTGTGGTGCTTTTAAGATGGGGACCCCCCCCCACCTCTGGATGCATGAAAGAGAGGAAAAATTTAGCAATCCATCTTTTTTGAGAAAAGTCCAGAATGCAAGTCTGACCAGTATTGAATGAGTGGATTGGTGTACATTCCAAGGGCTAAATAAAATGCTGCACTTGCCTTTAAGATTTGCCATTTTTCTATCAGTTGGTGAGCAAACTAACTTATCCTTAATTCTTGTTGGCAAAGTTGAATCTTCTAGTTTGGATGATTGTGAAAATGTCTTCCCATCCCCAAGCTAGAACTCATATTCTGATTTTATTTGCTTTATCCGAAATATAAAGGCTTTTCTTCACACTTCCTTAGGAATTGTGAGACTTATTGCATCTTGTGATAGGCATTGCATGCATTAAATAGATTTTACTATTCCATCAAAGCTTGTTCCCTATTTTATGGTTTGGAAAGCAAGGTAATTTTCTAGTAAATATTATTTTTATAACAACATTACGGGAGAACCAAATGGAGAACATCTGAAATTAAATAGTTCCATTTTTTCTTTGCAGAAGCTACTGTCTGATGAGCGATTTGTATCCATGGAAACTGACTCTGATGACAAGCAGTGTCTTAATCAAATGCTGAACGCAATCAGAGTGACTCCATCTCTCAATGAGGACCTGCAGGTAGAAGTGATGAAGGTTAGTGTTTTACAGACGTCAATAGTCGCTTGTTTGCAGAACTGGCTTCCTATCTGACTCAGCTCTGCCGTTCTGGAGTCGGTTGTGTCCCTTGATTGAATTATTTTATGCCACAGTATAAAGCTAGCTCTTATGCTTGTGACACAGTTGGCTTATTCTTTACTATTGTAAGCCTGGATCTGCAGGACATCATCTGTATTATTTTTTATTCATGTAAAAGGTCATCTTCCTTTAGTTGAAAGTCTGTAGGCTGGTACAGCTACAAGGCAGAGCATTATGCATGTTGATGGCTGAACAGACAAAACTAAGTGCCTTTTGCAAACAGAATACTTAGATACACCATTATTTAAATTCAAACTAACCACAACTAGTATCTTCTGGTAAGAGAGAGTGCAACAGATAAGCCAAACCCAAGCCAAAACATATCTAGATGATTCTTTATTAAGACTATTATAACACAAAAATTGTGAAGGTGTTGAAGGTTTTGGAACTCTCCTCATTTTTGTTACTTAAAAATGGGGAATAAGGAGAAAATTTTAAAAAACTGGGCTAGCCATTGAAAACCATGAAGTTTATAATTTCAGATGAGTCCTGAAATTAAGGCAGTGTATCCAACAGAGTCATTCTAGGTACTGTTGTTTCCAGACTATGAGGGAGAAACAAAGTGGGTTTCTCTCCAACTTCTGGAGCCATAAATTATGCCGAAGTCCTACTCTGTTGCAGAGAATCAGAACCATTAGAACCTAATAAACAAGGGTAGAAAGAATACTTTTAGTTGTTTGCTAGGCTAAAATAATTTTAACCAAATTGTATAGTTGGATATACTGTATTATTATCTCCCTAAAAAAGAGAACAAGAAAATTTATTGGGCTCTTCAAAAAAAGTCCTTCACTTTTGTGGAAGAAATGTTTCGTTCCAAGTCTCTGTCAAAGTTGTGCACCTGAATCTATATATGCGAATTGTAAATACGTTGAATATTGAATGCATTCTGCTACTCCTAGACATACGGTTTCATTACTGTGAATTAAATTAGTGGTAGTGCTGACCTGGTAAGCAGCCAGATGCATTGGAAATGAGAAAAATATCAATATAACCTTGTTCTGCTGACTGTTACCATGGTAGTTTCTTGCTGGAAGACTGCATGTCTGAAGAAAAATAAAATTATAATAGTGTACTCCCGTTCTGTAGGATGTGTATATCATTCTACCTATCGAGACTATATAAGTTTTGAAAAACAGGATTGATTTGTGCTCTCGTATCTTCTCTGAATCATGTTTGAAGCATGTGCAAATGTTACCTTTCACACATGCAGTAGTTTTTACATTGGTAGATCACAATTATGTTCACTTCACATTCTTTTTATATGTTTGAATTCAATGCAATGCAATTCTAATACAGGAAGCTGTCTTGACATTCTTTTTTAAAAAATATTTTTTTCATAGTTTAACTTTGGTTTTGAGGTTTAATGAGAGGATGGTTGAAAAGAATTGAATTGAAATAACTTTTTTAAAGATAGAATAATTGAAGAGGTTGTCATTCCTTTCTATCGTTCCAGAAGCTACCAGCATATTAGATATTGTGGAGCATTATGTTGGAAAAGGAGTGGCAGTCACTGTGGGTAGACTTAAAAGTGGATCAGCCTAGAACCCTAATAATACGTAACCACAAGCAATGAGGAACAGGATTGATTTTTTTCACACCTGATTAGGGCTTTAGAACACTTCAACCACAATAGTATTCTTTTCTGCTCTTTTCAAAGTCAGTGTCTCAAATCCTTTTTATTTCTAATATTTTTAAATTTAAAAAGTAAGGATATCTAGGAAACTCCATAGATAGAGAGCTTAAATCTAATATTCCTTGTCTACTATGCAATTTACAATTAAGCTTTAGCTTTTCAAAACAGTGGGGCATCTGAGAGAATAGTTCTAAATATTTAAGGTATCCTTGATTATTACTGAGGAATGGTATTGGTAACAAATGCCTATTCCTGCAGAGAATTCCAAAGCATTTCAGCTGTTCTCTGGATAGGCCTAATCTGATTAGTTCTATGAATATCGTGCTTCTTCAAAAGTGTAGACCTGAAAAAACAAATAACATCTAGTTACTGGAAGTAGAATCTTTGTGGGACTAGAGGTCTCCTGGGTGTGGTCCATGAAATGAAAGAGAAAAAAGTGAAGTTAGGACTGAGATAGTAATGTACGCATAAATCAGCATGAAAGAAATGATTAAGGTGACTTTCAGGAATTTGGGAAAACAGGTCAATAAATGTGACTTGTCCCACATTATTTTGAAAAGAAGGTCCAGAAGAAAAGTGTATTTGTGGGTAATCAATTCTGACTGAAAAAACAATGAGTGATTAAGGCACTTATTTTTTACATTCCAGGAATTAGGTTTGTAGGCTTCTATGCTGGGGTTAATCTGAAAGAGAATGTGTATTTTGGAGCTAAGATGTCAACACTGTTTTTATATACTTGCTCCTTTAGTTTTCATTTGACATTGGTGTTTTGTGATTGTGTTCATCACAGCAGATATTTTATGATTCAAAATGTAATTCCCTCTTGCAGCATTCATTGGGTAATGGTGTCCTTAATAACGTCTCAAAATTCTAGATGTGTCACCGAGACAGAAAGATTGATATGAAACCTCTGCTTAGGATTTGCTATAATCACTTGGATAGATTTACAACTTTTTGAAATCTATTCATTTTATGTTAATATTATCAGCTTTGGGCTGTGAGATGTCTGCAAAAATTGCTCAGTAGACAGTAATTTTGCTCAAAAACTTTCCAGCTTACTTTATCAACCTAGTGGTAAAACTGCTAAATTGTGAACATGGAAGCATTCTTCTAGGACACAAGAAAATTGGCAACTTTCTGGTAGAGAAGAGACTTTACTGGGTTATTGGGTATCTTTTTTCCTTGATTTGGCTTGTCCCAACTTTCCTCATTATCCTCAAATGTACAAAGTGCTGAGAAAGCAGCTGCATGCAAAGAAAGATGAAAATAACTAATTAATCTCTGCTCAACAATTTCCCTGAACCAATGTCAGGAGTGACCTTTTCTAGTATTTATGAGCTATTACTTCTTTATTGTTAATTAAAGTGATAAAGAATCTCTGGACTGAGATGATGACTATATACACTGATAAACTGTTCTTTGTTTTTTTTTACCCTGACTCTGGAATAATTAATCTTCATAAATTTAGTAGGGCTCGTGTGTCATGCAGACATGGAATAAAGGTTCCATTACCAAATGAACAAAGAGTTACCTAGACAGGAGTGGGATAAAATAAGAATAGTTTATATCTGCATTTTCATGGAGAAATTCTATCTATGTGATCGCCAGGAGTTGAAAATGACTTGATGGCACATAAATCAATCAATACCTGCATTTATTTGTTGGCTGTGTTAGTTGCTTGTCCCTTTCAAGAAACATTAATCTTTCCTTTAATCAAATTACATTACAATGAAACAGATTCTGTTGGATTTTCTTCCACATAAATCTTTTCATACATCCCGATCCTATCTTTGCCTGTTTAGATATAAATAATACTGGGGTGCTCAGTAAGATTTCCGTCTCCCTTCTAATCCCCCCCATTCAAAATATGATATTCAAAAATAATAACATGTTAATATATCAAGTACTTAACTGCAATGAATTTTGGTAAAAATAGCTTTGAGAACTATTATATGTGTATCAGATTGTGATGGGAAATGAAGTAAATGCTCTATTAAGCCGCATTTAAGATCATAATATTTCCTATTTTCTTTGTATAGCTTCAAATGCTTTTGATGAGGTTTAAGATACTTTAGGGTAGCTAAGACTGGCTTTGCAGTAGTGAAAGACATTTCTGTTTCTGCAACGTGGACCATTCAGTGTTTGCAAATCTCCTCTCCTACTCATTACAGTGTTTGCTCTGGAAATGTCAAATGTCATTTATAATTACTACCTTGTTCTGTCAGACTGGCAGAACAGGAGCTAAAGTATTTTTAGTCACTCTAAATCGCTGTTGTAAAATATTTGGCAATCCCAAATCCCTGTTTAAAAGTGCTCCTTGAAATTCCACAATCCTGAAACTAGTATTTTAAAGGGGATATATATTCATTTGGGCATTTGAAGAATATGAAATATTGCATTCAGAGATGTTCAAGTGTCACATCTGAGGCAATTTCCCATTGCAGAACCAAACCAGCTTTATACCGAGTAATCAATTCGATCAATCCAGACCAGGTGTAGCAAATCTGCTAACAACAATAGTACCATTCATGAAAGAAAAGTAGCTCTGGTTGGCTCTGTTCAGTAGCATTTACTGGATGGGGAGGGACAGAAGAGTCAAAATGGCAGAACACAGCAACACAGTCGTCTTTTTTATATGCCTTGATAGGACATAGATATCTAAATTGTGGCCTTCAATAATGCTGCTCCAAATAGCCATTTTGACACTTTGATTACTCATGCGGAGATCATGCTTGTTCCCAGTTGCGGTTGTTCTACATATTTTTAACCATTTTTAAGGGTTAACTTTATTGGGCTAGGTAATGTGACCTTCAGGTCCAATTAATTTTATTTAATTAATTGCAAAATGTGCATGGTTTTACATGCTTTGGAGCTATTAACATTTGAATTTTTCTGCTAAATGATCATTATTAGAAAGGTATAGCATTTTGTGCTGGAGCCATAAAGGGCAAGTTACTTTGAAACTGTGAAAGTCTGTATAAGCTATCATTCCCGTATGGCTTAAGAATATAGTGATCCTGGTAACAAGCTACAGTCAAAAATTTAAAAAAAAATCATTCTACTAGCCATAAAAATAGATATTAATTGCAGGAGCAATACAAAATATTATTGATAAGGCTGGCCAAAATTGCCTGTTACAGGTTTGCATCAAAATTGCAAATCCAAAACCAAACTGTTTCAAATGTATTTATCTGGGTTTGATGAGATAAGAGCCAGGAAAACAATTCTTGTAGCCCTTGGGAACCAGTTATATTTCTTTAAAGTTCCATAACAAACTGTGTTACATAACAGAAAATAAGATTTTTTTGTCACTAACTTCTTGAGAACATTGTGACTTCTTTGGAATAAACTGCAAGAACCATTAGGTAGCAGTGCCAGTTGCTCTTCTGCTTCTGTGCGGGAAAACTGAAGGAGCCTGATCCCATCCAAGGCAACCTTATGGGGATCTTTTTCTTAAAACAAATCCCCAAACCAGTTGTCTTATTTTCATCTATGAATGTTGACAAAGTGGTCACTTGGGGCTGGAATAGGAGATGATTTCTGTTTCCTGTACTCATTTGAAGTGGCCTAGGTCAAGAACGAGACATCTCCACTTTCTTCAATTTTAGGAAAAAGCAGAATATCATGCTTTGAACACCTTTCTTTTTTGTCTCAACCACAGGCATTTCATATCTACAAATGAAAATAAAGCCAATACGCTACATTTTTCTTCTCTTCCTCCACCTTTTAAAATATTACATTATCCTAACACTGAATAAGAAATTTTATAACCAAAGCCAGGGATGAATATTATCTTCTTTCTGCTTTTCCTAAGCAGACATTTTTCTTGCTTTAGGCTGATATCTGTCTTAGCCCAGTGGATTAATGCATTCCTTCTTTAGGGAACATCCAATAGATCACATGCTTTACAGTTATTCCATGCCTGCATGAAAGTTTGTCTAAACGTTTAAGCATCCATCACTCTGAGTAATTGTTTCTAATCACTGGAAAAACCATTTCACAGCTCCAGTGCTTAATAGAAAGCTCTGTGTTCCTCCTCTTCATAATTAAACATATTGTGCTGTGTATACTGAAGGAGTATTTAACCCTTCTAAATGTATACATATTTCCCATTTTATTTTGCTTTTTTTAGTGGGTGGCACAAATGTATTTCAATCAGAGGACTGAATGTAATTTTAATAATTATATTGTTAAATTATATTGCCTTTTCTAGATGTTGGTCAATATGTATTATCTGTAAAGATATCAGTTTAGAGATCCTTGGGTATAACATATGGAAGTATGCCAGAAAATAGAAAATTAAAATTGCTCTCCCTTCCATCCAGCACATCCATCCAGCAGATGAAAGTGGTTTGTTGCATTCAGCATATATAGGATTACAAATAGTATTTGTAAACAGTGGAAGAAGCCTTTGAATAATGTGGAATAGTCCATCCAATAGATCCGGGGGTGGGTTCCAGCTTCTTCTACTGCCAGTTTGCTCAGGGATGCACTTTTGGTGTGGGCGTGCTTGATGTGCGCAACGCGCGCAGGCGCAGTAGGTTAAAAAATGCTTCTGTTCATGTGCAGAAACAAAAAACAAGATAGCGCCACCAATAGAACCAGTTTGGGGGCGTGGCTGGCTGAATTACTACCTACTTGGCTGAAGTGATCCAAAGCAGTAGGAACCCACCTCTGTGCAAGTCAGAGCAAGTGTGCAGGTGCAAATCTCTTGTCTCCTTTGCTGTCTGAGAAGTTAGAGAAGATCTCTTCTGGGCCCATTATGCAGTTGTGGGCTGTGTCCCCTCTTATCTGACCAGGGTTTCTCATATACCATTATATCAAATTATTGCAACAGTATTTTTTCCATGTTCCACTGAATGTGAATTGTGGTAGCTTCCTGGCACTAGAAAAATATTTATTCTGAGTAGATGTAGTTAGATAATATGCGGCCTGTTACTTTGTAGTTAACTATTTCATTTAGCAGTACTGAATTCATATCAGCTGCTTGCCACTGCAACACATAATCAGATAAACACGGGGAAAGAATTAGAAATTTGGGGCAATAAATATTCAAACTTCACATACAGATGGTATGCTTTTGAGCAATATGTTCTCCTATAATAGGTTTTCATGTGGTAGATATTTTTTTAAATTGTACTTGGGCCAATGTTAGGCTATTACTCTTCTCTCCCTCCAAGGTTTCTAAAAATAACTGTGATTCCAGATTGAATAAATTGAAAGATTGACAGCTTTGCAAATACAGAATTCCAGGACAGCTATTTTGAAAATAACAAGAATACAAATCCTACTATTTTAATCTGAGGACTTTAAGAATTTCTTGAGATTGCAAGTTACTTGCTGAACTAAAATGTGTTGCTGTTTTAGAATACTGGGGTTTTTTACATTCAGCAATTGTATTTTGAAAATGAAAAATTTAATTTATATTAAGTGTTGATTGCCAATATGCAAGTGCTTGAAAATACTGCCAGTTGTAAGAATTTAGCTTTCTATTTAATAAAATCAGATTTTCCCCCCCTTATTGATTTGTAGAACCCATCAGGGCAATATTCTTTTCCTTGGAAGCCAAAAGCAATATTTTCTCTTTTATGTCAGAAAGCTCTCCAGCTGTGATCTACAATGTTATCATGGCCTTTCAGTACTGGAGGGAACTTTCTTCTAAGCATGTGCAAGGCAGGAATCCAATATTGTTTACTTAGAACAAAACAGGGTTTAACTGACCACATTTTTAAAAAAGTTACTTAAAGTAACTTCCCTTCTCTTTCCAGTGTGTAAGCATCTATTTTATTCTCCATAAAGCCCAATACAATAACCTTATATCAGTATCTTTTCAAATATTCAGATTTAAATTGTGCAGAGTAGGATTTTATGTTGATAATTATTGATAATGGAAAAGAGTCTCTTTTAAGGAGATAAAGAGGCAGCTTCACTTTGCATTTTAGGACCTATCTCAACATCTTTCTCTTTACTCAGGGATATAAATTCTGCATCTCTTCAGGATGGATGAAAGAAATATTTACCCTCGTCAGATTTTGTCATTTACTGCCTGATGTTAGGAACATGCTTTCACTGTTTTACTGAATCTTAGCTGTTGTTTTCAGCAGAAAGATGAGCAGTGTGTGTTTAGTTATGTCTTTGCTTGTTAGATTTATTCCCCACCTTCCTTTCAGGAGCTAACGGTGATGTACATAGCATTCTCCTTCAGCTTTTTATAGAATAGCCTTTGGGGTAGATTAGTGAGATTGACAGCAGCTTGCCCAAAGTTACTCACTGACCTTCCAGGATTGTCAGTGAATAATAGGACAATTTAAACAATCATGCCATCATTCATCTCTGCAATGTGGAGAGGTTAACCCTGTAATAGCGAACCTATAGTACACATGCCAGAGGTGGCATGCAAAGCCCTCTCTACTGGTGCATGTGCCACAGTGGTGGGATTCCCTTATCTTTGTTACCAGTTTCCAAATGTGAGCACGCTCGTGCAGAAGATCGCACATTATGTCGCAGCGGGTGGGCGGAGCCTCCAGCAGCCGCTGCTACCAGTTCACAGTAAGAACTGGCTGAAAACCACCTCTGGTGTGCCATTGCCCCATGTCAGATCTCTGTGGCGTTTCTTTCGTGAGCTTCTGTTTTCCTGTAAATGACAAAACAGAAGCTCACAAAAGAAAAAGATCTTACCTCTTGCCGCACTGCTGGTGTTGGGATGCCCTGCCTCCCGCTGGCCAGCTAGTCTTTGGGACTCTGCTACGCATGCGTGCATATTCAGTTTGGGCATGCATGCCCGCATAGTTTGGGCATTCAGTGTCTAAAAGGTTCACCATCACTGGGTTATCCCCATCCCTGTTAACTTTCTGTAAGTCCTTCAAAACATGGTTATATCAAGTGGCCTGGGGATCCCAAGGGAAGAATAAGTTGCTGAAGTGGTCCCATTGTTAATATTTTTTTATCTCTCCTTGCCCTTTAATCATAATGTTAATATTTTTAATTGATGTCTGTTTTTTTCATTGCTGTGTTACAGGTGTTTTTTTTTAGTGTACAACACCCAGTCACCATTTGTGAGATGGTAGCCATATAATACAATGAATGAATGAATAACAACTCATTATATGCTCCCTTGGATTGTGTCCTGGGGCTACCAATTCCTGCAGTGACATGTAGATTTCTAAGCAGGGCAATTATAAATAACTCTGAGGCATAAACAATATATAACGATTTTTGTGTGAAGATTTTGATTTCACGCATTTTGTACATTCTTTATGAAATGCCAAATGTACAGCTAGCTGACACTTGCTACGTCAATTATAAATTGACAATATCATCCAAAGTATTTCATATTCAGCCATTGTTAGAATTTGCATTCAGAAAAGTGGTAGTAAGTACGGTACCACAAATCATGCCAATGGATGTCATTGAAATTAATTCCTTTTTTATGGTGGAGAGGATTTTTTTTCTATTCCATTTGTCTCCTTCCAAGAGCAAATTTGAATAGGATCTACATTTTCACTTGTTACATGCAGACACATTCTTAATTTTCTCAGATTTCTACACTGCAATCATTCAGTAGCCTTGCAAAACAAGACATTTGTCATATTTGTCCTTTGTAGCTCATTTCATTGATTTATAGTGTTACAAAACTGTTTTCGCCCTGTAAATTTAATTAATAGTGTGGTAGATATACTGTTTAGCAGATATAGTTAATATTCCTGGTTACCACTGTAGATCTTTCCCCATTAGATGTTGGATCAGGATGGTCTTAAAATATTCATAATTTTATTCTTGGCACTGTAAACTTTTTTATACTAATAGTTTCTGGATGTGCTAGGCAGCAGCAGTTTGCATAATCTCTAGCCAGTGTATAAAAGTCTTATAAAAGACTGGTACAATTATTGTCAATTATTCAGTTAACAATTATTGTATTGTGTTGTGTTGCGTTGCACTGTATTACATTGTATTGCATTGTGGAGTTCTATTCTGGCTTTAACATTATGGTCCTCTATGTGTTGTATGGTTTTGCAGTCAGATAATACAAATATGCTGTATACTTGCTTCTAAATTGATGTTCATCAATTTCGACCATTAACATGTTTTTAATTGAGAGAATCATCAATTCTAAAATTCTTTGTGCTGTATTTGTTTATCTCTAGGTATTGCTTTGCATAACATACGCGCCAACATTTGAGTTGAATGGAAGTTCTGTACTTAAGATTGCTGAAGTGAGTATCCTCTGTCAGTTGGGAATGAAACTTGAGCTGTTTAATAAAACAATGTGGTTTTTTTTTTCATTCACAATGTTAGATTTATGTCAGTCATGTATCTCTAATGGGAGAAGTTGCTATTCCCTCCTCACTCTCTTGAACTCTTCCAAGCAAGCAGCTTCTATCAAAAGTTTTTTTTTAAATACCTAGATAACAAAATGTGACTGCTATTAGTTTTCTGTTTTATATATATTATAATAAAATGAGACTTTAGTACTCAGTTTTATAATAAGATAAAAGAAAGTATAAGTATAATCTTTATTGTCATTGTATTTAAATACAATGAAATTGGTTGAGAGAGAGAGATGCTAATATGTATGATAGATATCTGGAATAGTGATTCATGTTTAATATAGGTAGTCCTCAACCTACAACATTCCACTTAATGATCATTTGAAGTTAAAACAGCACTGGAAAAAAGTGACTTATGACCATTTTTCACACTTATGACCATTGCAGCATCTCCATGGTCATGTGATTTATGTTTGGATGTTTGACAGCTGACTCACAGGACAATTGTTGTACCCTGGAGTCATGTGATCAACTTTTGCAAGTCAAGCCAAGTCAATGGGGAAACCAGATTCACTTAACAACTGTGTGACTGACTTAGAAACTGCAGTGATTCACTGAACAACTATAGAAAGAAAGATCATAAAACAGGGCAAAGCTCACTTAATAAATGTATCACTTAGCAACAGAAATTTTGGGCTCAATTGTGGTTGTAAGTTGAGGACCTCCTGTACATTATCTTCTAACCAGTGTATTTGTATTTGTATTGCTATTACAGTGTTGTCTCTTTTTCTTTTTCCCAAACAGGTTTGTATTGAAACTTATATTTCCAGTTATCACCAGCGGAGTATTAATACAGCTGTACGGGCAACCCTCAGCCAGATGTTGAGTGATTTGATTTTACAATTACGGCAAAAACAAGAAAATACAGTGAGTCAGTCAGGCATCTGTAATGGGACTGGTCTTTGCTACTTATGCTTAAGTTAGAGTTGGTGTAATGCTCCCAAAACTGAATTTGTAAATAGGTTTTTACAAAATATTAAATCCTAGCACAAAAAAAAGTCAAGCTAATTTTTACAGGCTCTTACATTTTCCTCTGGATCAAGTTTTATCTGAGCTAGACAAATATGGACTTCTTTCTGCTTCAGGAGCAAATTTCTACAAATTGTAAAGTAAGAGATTTGTCTAGAGTAACATTGCGACTTTTGTTTTGTTTGTGTTATTGACAGTACATCTATTCTTTTTTGATAGATGACCGAAAACCAAGGAGTTCTTCAAGGCTGCAAGAATTCAGGTATCAGTTAATTAATTTTGACAAAATGATTTATTTATAACTTTTATATTTATGCAAAATTGTGGTGTTGTTTCACTTTTACAAAAAAGACCGGAGGCAGTCAACTTAATACAGGGAGTCCTTGTTTAATGATCTCAATCAGGATCTTAGTGGTTGAGCAGAGCAGTTGTTAAGCAAGACATCAGGTGAGTTCATGTGACTGTTGTGCTCAGATGATCACAACACTCCCAATTGTTGTCATTAAACGTATGGAGTCCCAGGTAAGGAGCACAGGGTTCCTCTGGGAGGATGAGGAAGACCTGTGAGGTTCCACTCAAAGCTGAAAACCTTCCCTATTGAAATCCAAGGAAGATTTTCAGCCCCTGAAGCAGAGACACCTGTATCAGGCCTCCCCCACTTATCTGAAGCAGTCAGTGCTCTTATCTTATTGGTCTGCCTAGAGTTCAGCTGCATTTCATCTCTAGCAACCGATATCCTTTGATAGGCTGAAAGAGCTGCCTACCAAACTCATATCGAGTTCTCCTTGATACACAGAATTCTTTGGGAAGGATACAGAAATAGAGTTTTAATCATCAAGATTTAAGCGCCATTTCAGCACCCTGTGGAGGGATATCAGTCCCCTCCACTGACAGAAAGGAGTACCTTTGATGGGATGCTGGAATAGCGCTCAGATGTTCAGGATCGTGAGGTACTTGGCAACCAGTTATAAATATGAACAGAATACCAAACACCCAGATTATGATCATTTGACTGTAGGTGGGTGGCAAAAAGTTTTGTTAGGCAAAAGTGCTTTAGGAGCCACAAAGCTCCCTTTCTGAACCCATTGTAACTTTGAACAGTTGTTAAATGACCAAAATTAAGTTGAGAATTACCCGTACTGTTTCAATTCCCATCAACTTCTCGGTCAGTGACAAAGGAGTTTGAGGACAACATTTGAAAGGACATGAACAAAGATATTTAATGTCTCTTATATACAGCTTGCACACCCCAGTTCTGAAAGGGCTGCAACCCAGTAGTGGGCTGTGGCCGGGGGTTGAGAACCCTGTTCAATATTTACTTTGCATGTGCTCCTATTTTATACCAGTTTTGTCAAACCACGGTAGTAGCTTTGCATGTTGTAGTTTAGACTACCATTTTCATTGGTCAGGAGAGATGGGAAGTATGAGGTAGCCAAACTGACTGGGAATTATATGAGTTGGATTCTAGCATAATTATAGCATACAAGGCTGCAGTGAATATGAGTAGCTTCTAGCAGTTTCATGTAACTAATGACGGAGCAATTAGAAGGTATATATTTCTTCATGTATACCAAGAAATTCACCATAGTGAGGGGGGAAGAAGTATCCAGAATGGGTTGACCTTGTCCTCTCATGATTGGTTGAGTCAGATAAGCTCTTTGGGCAATGCCCCCTGGCCACCAGGTATTCCCCATTATTTGACTCATCCACTCACTGGAAAGGTGCACCACTCTGGACCTCCAGTAATTTACAAGGGATTAAGGAAAATAAGCTTGGACCTGGCGAATCCNTTTTTTTTTCTTATTTTCCTCCCCAAAAACTAAGTGCGTCTTATACTCTGAAAAATATGGTAATCTTTGCATCATACCTTTCACTCTGCAAAGGAGTCTTTTTCCATAATTTTGAAACTCAATTTTTTGGGGGGGAATAGTTCAGAACATATTTGTCAGTGAAGAATGTCTGGGTGAACTTTTGGTGAGTGGCGTAAGGATTGGATCTCCAATCCTTCGTCTTCCAGCTGAAGAGAATATTTTATGTCACTCTTGTGTATCTCTAACCTTATATCTTTTGGCTGTTTGAGATTTTGAGGAAATGGCTTCGTTTGCCTCATCTGGGGCATTTTCTCCTGCGGGAATGTTTTTTTCCAGCACAGATTTTTGACGCCTTCCTGAATCTGCGGCTTTCCAATCTCTGCGGTACACTGGAAACGGGACCCATTCAAATGTCTTCGTTCCGCAATTAAATGTTTCGAGACACGGTGGAGGATTTGCAATTGGAGAGTTCTGTAACAGAAAAGAAAGGGTCAGCATTTTAACAGCAATGCCGATACGAATTTACATTTTCTCTCTCTATTTTGACCAGCATTTGCTACATTAAATGTTCTGGTCCTTGGCCAAATTTCCACCAATGAAATTAAAAGGCAATTAGAAGCTAATATTCCAGAATATTTGATTGTGACTTGTTTTGATGTGTAAAGATCCTGTTTTAATTGTCTGTTGGCTGATTTAGTTCTGTCCAGATTGTCTGAGGGGACACAGTGGCTCAGTGGCTAAGACGCTGAGTTTGTTAATCAGAAAGGTTGGCAGTTTGTTAGTTCGAATCCCTAGTGGCGAGTAGCGGAGTGAGCTCCCGTGACTTATCCCAGCTTCTGCCAACCTAGCAGTTCAAAAGCACGTAAAAATGCAAGTAGAAAAATAGGGATCACCTTTGGTGGGAAGGGAACAGCGCTCCGTGCACCTTCTGCATTGAGTCATGCTGGCCACATGACCACAGAGACAATATAGAGCCGAGGTGGCGCAATGGTTAAATGCAGCACTGCAGGCTACTTCAGCTGACTGCAGTTCTGCAGTTCGGCTGTTCAAATCTCACCGGCTCAGGGTTGACTCAGCTTTCCATCCTTCCAAGGTGGGTAAAATGAGGAGCCGGATTTTTGTT